TAGGGAGGGTGGAGGTAGTGGCTTCACTATCTCAAGGTTGCACAGCTGCTGCGCAATGCGGCTTGTTTACAAAAAAATCAGTCCCGGTATATGACGGGCGTTCTGTGTCACTGAATCAAGGTATGTCGTCCTACCCGATATACCAATGCTGTAGACTATGTAGGCAATGTAGTTGCACCTCTCCGCCACGGCTCCAGACACGATCGTGGCAGCCGTAGCGGCGAATCCAAACTGGAAAAACCAGTGGGCCAGCTTCTCAGACGGCAGTTCTCTTCCAGCAAAGTAGGTGTACCCCAGCAGTGTATCGCCTCGTCCATAAGCCAGCGCGTAGCCGACAAGCCAGTAGCTGACACAACTGAAGCCTGGAACAAGTGGAATCGCATGTTATTCTGAGTCTATAACATTTTATATGTTGCATAACACCTGAATAAGCCCCATGTGTTGAACAAGAGTGCCGATATGGTGAATCTGGCCTTCATTTTACGTTGAACTGGAACCAAGTAACTTTCTAATCTTGACATGATCTGCGTATATGTATATGATGACTTATTCTCATAACTGTTTTAGGCACAGAATATACGCTGGTCCCAAAGGAGATAACTTGAGAACTCTCTGATGATAAAAAGCGATTGGATGAATTTTCTTAAAATTTAGTTATAATTTCGATCATTTATGAACTTGCGTGTTTATTTACTTGTGTATTGCTTCAGGGAATCTTCTGACTCTCATAGCAATTGTAATTAAGTAGCACGCCATGACAACGTATGGAGAAGTGGTGGTACAGATTCTCATATTCTTAATCTCAGCACTAGTTGAAATGAATGGGTAGAGCCACGTTCTGACAGATTTACTTCCACTGCCTACTGGATAGGAAGCTGTGTGGTTTCCGTACCAATGTTGGTTTAGTGTAGAGGAGAGAAATCTCAATCATTGCACATGCCACTTATTGAACCCCTGTCATCATCTACTAGCAACTCATAATGATTAAGGTATCCTACTTCCGCACCCCCCCCAAATAAATAGCTTCAAAACTTTAGTAATTAAAGTATTTCAACAAAGTTGGTTCTTTATTTACCCTCCGTTTCCTTGAAAACCCGTAATACAACATGCGAGGTCTTGTTTTATGATTGATTTTCGAGAAACTGTGGGTCACATGGTCTGGTGACTCAGCCATACTGTCGTTATATACGTGCATTGAGCTCAGTAGTGGCATTGTATATTGTGATTATCTCTTAACAGTAAATTTGTGTCTGCAATAAATTAACGCAGGGGGAAGTAAAACACAAGTTCGTAAATAATGCACTCAGAACGCGCCAATACTCATATGAAACGCCTCTAAACTTTGTTTTCGTATTCTCAGAAGAAGGAAACATGAGTGTGGTCTATATAAATTTATTAAATTAACTTAAACAACTCTGTGACTTATTTTCTCTTCTATTACAAGACGTGAAAATATGCCTCGAAGGAGTCGTGGCCCTTTTTCAAATGCAATGCCAATTTTCTCTCAAGTTGCTGAGAACCCTACTCTGAGACGAACGTCATGTTTGATGTGCAAACTTTCAGCATACGTACACCATTTGCTTAGTACTCACAGATGTCCATGAGGTTCTTCATCATAATGTTGGTAGTGTTCTTGGACCGCACTGCCCCAGCCTCCAGGCACGCGAATCCAATCTGCATCACTGTGTTGTAAACATATATCGTCCTTTGTAAAATTAAATAAATAATTTGTTTTAAAACATACACACCTGAAAAGTAGCATAGTTTAATTGAAAGTGAGCATAGACGTTCATAATAGTCTACAGATTGTTAGTGAGGTTAGAGGTTCCCAAGACAATGACTGCAAAAATTACTGTCTTCTTGGATATGTAGTTTGGTATATATTTCGGAAGAAGTTAGCGCTTGGATCTTCAGGCTAGAAGGGTCCTGTTAAAAGGGAAGCAGTACATTCTTTCTAAACATCTGTCAGACTACCCGGAACCAAATTCTAGAAGACACGTAACCTTCATATCGTCGCGGAAGCTGACTGCTGTGAGATCACGTCACCTGGCCTGCGCCCGCCTCTTGTACTGCCTGGAATGTTCTAGAAACCGATCGAATAACGAGGAAGACCGAGGTTGCCTAAAACACTCAGAAGTTTTCGCTAAGGATGTTTTTTATTGTTCTTCTTAGTGGGGTGAGACTGAATCCGTTTGGTACTACGGCCACTGCTGGTCTCTTGTACCAGCCCCAAATGATAGATAATGGTGACTGGGGAGCAATTGGTTTAGTGAAGATTGACAGGGGAAACCGAAGTACTCGGAGAAAACCTGCCCCAGCGCCACTTTGTCTACCACAAATCGCACATGAAGTGACCAGGGCTAGAGCCGGACCGCCGCGGCGGGAAGCCAGCGACTAACCGCCTGAGCTATGGCACGGCCACCGCTACGGACAACTTGCCTATAAAGGAATTCAGCGACTAGCTGTTTGGTTAGTGCAAGAGTCAGTTGGTCAATTGTCAGTTTTTCAGCTCTTAGTTCTCCGCAGTGCAGTGCACTTCAGCGGAGCGAGGTGAGCGCGCTCAGATTTGTGAACAGTGGTGTTTGCTGTAGAGTAACGGCTTAAAAACAAAATGATCTCAAGATCATAAGTGGTTACGGGTTATGGGACAGTAATTGCAACAGCATTGTCGCGCGTTTGCTAGGCAACGCGACAAGAAATTATGTGGGTTCTCAGATTTGAACAAATACCTTCATTGGACTGTCACTTTTACACTCACTATTCTCCACTTATAACGTCCTTTAGACGTTTCTTCTCCGATGTTACAATACTTCTGTTCTAGTCGGATAAGGAATCTTCTGCTAAAGTCGAATACAAACTCTGCTGGTCTCAAGTCAAAGTCACATTGCGACTGACAGTCAGTCATTAAGTCGTGGTGTCGAGCCACATCTGGTGCTCATGACAAGATATTAATTATTACGGTTTGACGGTTACGGTCTTGTTTCTGTGGGTCTCCCTCTCTGAGGAGAGGGCGGGTCTGTCTTTTGTATATGCTGCTGGCCCTTGCCAGCGCAGTCTTGCTCGGGTCCGATTCCCTTGGGACTCTCGACCATATTTTACTGTCTCAGGTTTTTGACTCCCCTTTTCGTCGCCTCCTACGACTCGCAGGGTCACGGTGGAGGTGTTCGACCCCGCCTCCACACGGAGTAATGTCAGTCAAAGTCACTGGCTCCTTAGTTATTCGAGTTTCTCTTATAAACCCTCAATCGAACCGGCCTCTGTTGTTGGTCTCTGGCCGACGTTTGACTCTTATAACTTGCACTCGGAGTGGATAGGGAAAACCTTGTTGAAGGGTTAATTCCGCTTGCTGTTATGCAACGAACGCGGGAATACGTGTGTAACGGTGGAAACTCCACTGTTAGATTGCTAGCCGTTGTATAGCAATGGATGCGTTATGATTCCTAGCCGTTGTAGCGGGAACGTCGCTCGTTGCCTAGTAAATTAACACTGATTTCCTTAACCATTCCGGCTTTCTGGCGGCACGCCACAGTATCGATAATCGTTACAGTATACGTATATTGCTTGAATTCGAAATGAAACCGGATAGGACGAAAGAAATTGTTTACTGCAACACGCATTTCTTCGCGATATGTTATTGCATATATTTGACCTGCACTTTTTTCTGTTGTGGCATATTTACTTACTAATACGAGTGTACACTTAAGAACAAATATTTGGCCGATATACACAAGCCTGCAATAGAACGCCGATCATACGAATTATATAGTGGCATATGTGGTTGAAATAATCGAAAATTCGGATAATTGAATTATGTTCTTATCCACAAAAACACTATTATAACACTACTATAATGTACTATACTATTATAATAATAAACACTGAAAAATCTTTTAAGGCAGGTGAAACATGGAAAGTTATAAATGTAGTTATGAATTAACATTTTCGAATACTTTATTTGAAGAAGTCCAACAATGATATTTGTTTAGCAGCAGCGAGTGGAGACCATATTCATTGGTTAAGGTGATTCGACTGATTTACAATTCAGAAAATCGGCATTCTACTGTACTGAACATATATAAATTAATGTATATATGTGCACGTGCAAAATGAGAATGATAGGCCTACTTACGGATGAGAATAATTCCATTCGTCAACTGAAAAAGGTCGTTTATGTCGTTATTCAGTGCCTCCATGTCCGTCACATTGGATGCCATGTTCGTACGTGCTATTTCTTCACCGGAAGTGCTCCTGAAAGGGAGGACATTATGCTCCAGACCAAGTTACATACTCGTCAGTTACTCATGTATCCTGTTACGAATTTGTAGTCATGACCAACAATAACGGGTTGTGGATTGGATAACTGGATTTATTAACACCTTCTTTTACAGTCTCTCTTAATGACATTCAATCATAGCGCTATCGCTAATCTATCCACTTCACAAATCACTATGGCACGCTAAGTCTTCCCATTTTCCACTAGTCGTATCCTGGCAACGGATTTATAACAGTCTCACTGTAACTATAGCACACATCAAGATTTCTTTTCGCAGGCTAACTCCGTTGTACGCCTTTCTACTCATTCTCGTTCTTCCACGACTTCCAGTTTCGGAACTCGACTCGACTCAAATTTGCACGGACCCCACGGATAATATCGTCTCTCAAAAATCCGTAGGCGTGTTTACCGCTCCCTTGCCCAGAAATGGACGTCCCATTGTTCCACGGTACGTTTTGCGGGAACATGTTTAGCGACCCGTTGCATAGCAATAGGCATTGTGTGGACCACATAGAAACAATTCTTGCAATACCTTTTCTATTGTTGCGTGAGCGTATTTAGGGCGTTGCCTGGAAACTGGTCTACATGTCGCAATACAAAGTGTGACAGTTTAATTCCCGGAATGGCCGCAGCGTGTAGCTGGGGTGTTGAGTCAGGCAAACTCAATTATCCAAGCTTGTTTGGACATGCTGCAATTTGGGTTTACATGAGCCACAGACCAAATGAGTGGTTCGTTCCCAAGCAGAAGAGGAACTAGTACGTGTCCGTGGTATGCTGTTGTAGAAAAGTGAGTGACAAGAATCTGGAACAGCGGATGAACTTCAAGTTTTGTGTGAAGGTTGATAAAAGTGCTAGTGAAACGCTAGCCCTATTAACAGTGGCTTATGGTGTATATGTTATGAAGAAATCGAGCGTCTTTGAATGACATAGGCAGTCCAAGGAAGAGCGAGAAGATGTGCAAGACGACCCAAGAAGTGGGCAGCCAAAAACGCAAAGGACAATTGCAAATGTGGACAGAGTACGAATCTTGGTGCGCTCAGATCGAAGATTAGGCGTGAGAATAATAGCAGAAGAATCGAATATGAATGACATCTTTAGTAGAATAACAGATGGAAACTCTTTCTTTTCATTCCTCTTGTTTTGTTTTCTTATTCTTTTGTACTTTGAAGTCTAAGCATGAGTTATAATTCAAAATATCACGCAAATGCTTTGTTGCCGAAACCACAGTGACAGGACACTTCCATTGTCAACTCCCAAGTTTAGCATCAATTTTTGCATGCCAGATGCGTGGTATTTGAGTTATGATAAAGAGATTAACACCTTTTAAGACATTAGAGTTTCATTAGGCGTTGTTATACAATTCAAGGCCATAATCATAGCTCAGGCCATTAGTCATCGGCTTCCAACCCCGAAAGTCCGGGTTTAGTTTCAGGGCAGTCCGTGTGTGATTTTTGGCGGACAGAATGCCACTGGGACAGCTTTCTTTCCAAGTACTTTCGCTTTCTTCTTTCTCGTATCATTCCACCAATGCTGTATTCTCTCGTCCAACATCTAGGCCAGCTGGTGTTTCTCAAACTTATATCACCTGCGTACCATTACATGGGCGGTCGGCTCACGCGATGACCAGTCGGTTGTCGTAACACTCCCCGTAGTCGCAAAGAGCATGGAATTGCGTTTT